TATCATCTTTTAATTTTATTCTTATTCTATTTTCTTTTGATAATATTTATATAACTCTATTATTAAATAAAATAATAAATAAATTATTGACACTTAACACTTAAGTTGATACTTAAGATTCCAATTTATTGTATATGAAGTTGATATTAGGATATAATTATTTTTTTAACATTAAAACTATTTATGTTTTTGATTTGACCAAAAACATCATTTAATTGATGAAGAGATAAAGTGTTGCGTTTTGTGTAGAAACATTTATCATAAATTGGTTGGCTAGTTTTTACACATACACAGTAAGTCCTGACATTATACCATTGGAATATCACTTCTGCCTATCCTTACAAGATTTTCTTTATAGGCAAAATTCTGACAAAGATACGAGTAAAAATAAAAAATGAAACCTTAAAATTTGATAATAAAATAATAATGATTTTAGTTGAAAAACGGCAGGGAGGATCAAGATATAATCAAGTGATTAGTGTAATATTTAGATTATTAAAATTAATTTTAAAGGCAAAAAAAAATATATTTTAATTTTGTCGAAAATACGCAATAATATATTTTTCTCGAGTGAATAGTATATTAGTGTAGTAAATATTAGGCAAACACTAATTTATAATTCTTCTTTTTTTTAATTTACTTATTCTATAAAATGTAGTGGTCATATGTGGTTGTTGTATTATGGTTAATATCACTTTTACATGATTTTTCTAATTCCAGTAATGGTTGTCTAGTGGTCGAACTCAGTAGTATATTATTCACATTTATTTATAATCCTTCTTATTTTTGATTTACTTATTCTGTGAAATGTAGTGGTCAGTTGAGGATACTATGTTACTGTTAATATCATTCTTAAATAATTTTGTAACTCCAATTGTGTCTACTAATTAAGCCCAAGTGTTTTCTGCCTTAAGGTTTCAAAGATATAGATTTTAGGTGCAAAATTGCAGGCATGATAAAAAGAAGTACGTGTATTAAAAGATGAAGAAATAAAATAGTTTTTAAAAGAAGAAAAGTCTGATAACAATTTTTATTTCAAAACTGTTGAACAGGGTATATTCTAACCACGGTTGCCACTTATGGTACTTTAGTACCAAAATTGGTACTTTTTTTTCCGTTTGGTACTCTGGTACTCATGTTCCAAAATGGTACATTTTCGGCGACCCAACTTTATTGTGGATATTGTATTGTTTTATACTTTTTGTACATTTTATATAAATTGTTTTTTCTTATAAAAAGGCAATAGAAAAATTTTGGACCTTTTTTTACAGAAATGGTACCTTTTTAAACCAATTTTGGTACAGAAAAAAATTTTCAAGTGGCAACCGTGATTCGAACAATCTTTTCAAGAGCTATATTACTAACCAGAGAATTGATCATTTTTGTATTTTATCTACAATATTTGACATTATTTTAAAAATTCAATATATTTTGTGTAATTTTTCATATATTTAACTTTAAGGTATTATAAAGCACCATCCCATCATGGACAATTTAATAAAAGCAATTATGTAATTAAGTGAACGATTTTCCTATAAAACTTCGTTATGATAACAACAACGTAACTAAAACGCAAACTAATTAGATTTGAAATTAAATTATTTTCGAAGAATAAAGGCGGAAAATAAGAAAAAGATAAGCACACAGAGTCAAAGAAATGTTAGTAGATAAAGCTTCGAGGGTAAAAATGTCTAAGTTGGAATAACATTAGTGTATCGACGAGGAGATTAAATTGTTGTAGAGAAATATTTTAAATTTTACTAAAAAAAACAATCTAAATGGAAGTCAGAATAAATAAATTTCCGTTGTCAAATTAAGTGTCAAATAAAATGTAACAAATGACCATTTGAAATACTAAAACCCGAAATGATTTTTATTAATAATTTTATGTAGCTTTTATATTCATATAGCCATCTTAATTACAGAAAAAAAAATTAATTTTAAACATTTCATTATCATTTTATATTTTTTTCAAAAAATTTTTTTGCGTCTTGATTATAACGAAAACATAATTTAAAATTTCAATTAATTTTACATTAAATTTGAACAATTGTATCAGTTCCTGTCAGAGCATTTTTGAAGTCTTCACCTTATCGTGCAGGTAATTGATTTCGTTTTAATTGATAATTGATTAGTTTGACAACTTTTGTTAAAAATGTTATCAAATTTTTACTTCCATATCATTTGATATCAGTTAACTAAGAATTGCAATAAAAGTTAAATGTTTTCAGAAGTAATATTAAGTGGAGGCTAGTATATTAGAGTATGACAAATTCTACCAACAAAATTGTTGGTAAGAAGAGAAACACGTCATTTTTAATATTTTTAGAATGATTGATGATTGTAGTCAAGAAAAATTTCAGTACGTAATTCGGTATACTTGTGGTATAATATCTGCTAAAGTTCAATTTTAATTATAAGTAACTCTTTGTATTACCTGTGTATAAATAAAGTGCAAAATTGTTATTTTAAATTATTTTTAGAAGCAATAATTCAAAAATTATTTATAAAATAAATCAATTACATGTTAACTTAAAATTAGATTATTTTTCTAATATTTGTGTATTTTATTATTTATTGTTAATAATATATTTTTTAGCGAATGATAACACATCAAATACTTATGAAATATTCAATCCTATAACAAATCTGTCTTGATTGGTAAATCTAGGGCAACTTTTTCAATCGAGATTTACTTTTAGTGCAATTTTCATTTTCGATTGACAAATTTCCAGCGAAATAACACACGTGATTAATATATAATACTTTAGATATTTTGTTAAAGTAGCAACACAATCCTAAAACTAACAGCTGTTTCATATGACTTAATAAATAATGTGTGATTTGATACGATATACGTATTTATGAAAAACATAATTGTCTTTAACACTACTAACATTTACTCTAAAATTGTTTGAGCTAGATTCTAGATATTATATTGAATTTTTCCTTTTATAGGTGTATTTTATTATTATTTGTTAATAATATCTTTTTTAAAGATAAAGAAGACACCAAAAATGAATTAAATAAAAAATATTCACAAAAAAATCTAATGAAAATTAATAATATTGGTTATATAAATATATACAAATAACGCTTACAATAAATGCTAATACTAATAATATAAAATCCACTGAAACCAGACCTGAAAGTATGCAAGTTGAAATATACTATCCACAAATTCAAGTTCAACAGAAACTGTTATAAAAATACTAAACTGAATTTTCTAAGACTATTATCGGAACCGATAAACACTATATTATTAATAATAATTTATTATTATTTTATGATAAATCATTTAATAAGATTATAATTATTATTATATAATTACATGACCACGTTCAGGAAGTCTATTATATGCATTATAAATATAAAACATTAATATGCAATAAAAATTAAATACAAAATTAAAATGCTTGATTATAAATAGTTAAAAAAACTTAAAAACAATTGAACAGTTTTTTTACATTTACTAGTTCAAAATATATAACAATGTTATTGATTATAAAATATAAATATAATAATTATAAAATTAAAAACATTAAAAAATAATAAAAATGTTGATGTAAGAAAATGTAATAAAAAGTAAAAATATAAATTGTATATTATTTTATTTATATAATATATCAAAAAAAAAAAAGATTGAAAAAAAAAGTCAATGCAAAGAAATGAATTTCATTATAATGTAAATTCGATCATAAGATAAATTAAGTTAAATTATTAAATTAAATTTAAAATAAGGAACAACCATTGTACACATATTAATTTTATATTAATGACATTTTTATTATGAAATTAAAAAAAAAATATAATTATAAAAATTCAAATTTTATAAATCATATATAATAACTAAAGTCTTTAATTAAAAATATTTATATGTTATGTAATATATTGAATATATAAAAAATATTTAAATAAATAAATGCTATGAAATAAAAGGTGTAAATTATTTTTATATGTACTTAAAAAAGATGTTAATAAAATCTGAAAATTGGGTTTTAAAAAAGAATGTTGAAAAATAATATTCCGAACTTAAGCAAAATAATTGCGGACAATAAAAAAAAATTCAATTTGTTTGTATATTTAAATATATACTCGTAAAATGGAGAAAATGAAATAAGTGTGCCATAAATTTCTAACATTGTGTCTCTATGTCTCCTCTCATACATAACAAATACCCCTACTTTGAATACACGTTTCATGCCCATTTTGTTTCTTTTCGCTGAATGGCTGAATAGGACCTTATTTCTATATACTCCATTGTAAGAACAATAAAAATTTATTGGTTTCACTTGAGTATAAATTAAATTTGGAACATAATTAAAGAAAAACACAAGTACTACGAACTATGAATATGCAGATATACATATATATTCGCTAATGGAAGAAATTTACACATTTTATGCAAAAATTTCATCTAAATAGTTTCTTAAGAACACTCTGAAAACTTATATAAATGGTTGCATAATTCACTTTAAAAAATGCAATGTCATTATTTATCATAGTATATATCACAAAAATGAGGTTCTAATAGTTAATATAATAAGCAAAGATTTTCCTTTTTTTACATAAAAAGAAGATTCTTGACTCTTGATTTGTATATCATATTACACAATAAAAATGATTGACCTGGCTTACCTGTATCACTTGGTGTGATATTACTGAGACGGTGTGTAAGAAAACCGCGTAAATTCGAGACTACACGTTGTGGCGAATTCGGCCCACTACCGATGGAAAAGCTACGTAGTTTGGAGAACAGGGCTGCGGGTTCACCACTGCCACTGCCTGTGGCGTTATTTGTACCCTCGTTGGACGCCACTGTCAATAATTTGTTACGTATTAAGTTTCTCTAAAAATTTGTATTCTTTTATGTTTAAAACTTTTATATAAAAATTGAAAAGAATCAATAATAATAGATCAGCACTTAATTTCGTTTAATTTTTGTTACTATCGGAGGGTAATTCTTTATGTTTTATCGTACACGTACACTTTCGCATCACATTCGCCACAAATCTATTGTTTTCAAATTCCGTAAATTCTTCCTAGCATTCCACTGCAGTTTTGTAAAACAAAAATTTTAAAATTTTTTTCAACAAATTTAATAAAATTAATTTTTTATTTTGTTCCAAAACTAAAATTTTTGTATTGAATTTTTAATATACATGTATATACAAATATATATATATCATGTATATAATAATATATTATCCTGTACACACACACTGAAGGTTGGAAAAAATAAAATTAAACCAGACGACCACCGTGCGTCGTCCAGGCCAGAGCAAAGGTAACTTCTGTCTGGCAGCGTGTGCAAGTTATACTCGTAACATGCCTGTGCTAACGAAAGCTACACCGTAGCAGTGCTTTACCACTCAGCCTGGAAATTTCGTACTAGTCTGTGCCTTGCGAACATGCTTAACCCAACTGCCACCCACCGATTTTCGTAGATACATTCCAAAGCGCGCTGTGTGAAAATTACGGGGGCATACGAAGGTGTACTGGTGTTAGACTTTGGGTTTGTGTGATTGTACGTTGTGCGCTCTCCTTTCTACAGTGTTCAGAGTTGTTTGGTATACAGGATATCGGCTAGGGGCATGCGCAATTCTTGTGGATTCATTATAATGAATGTATCAATTTGTGCGTCCATCCAATTGGCTTGGAGTGCTGGCGCTGTTCCCATGCATATTATTTTCACATAGTTGAGCACATTTGAATAATTTTCTTTGAACTTTTCTTCTTTGTTTTGTGGAAACTGCTAACGTGCTCATCTGTTTCATGGTTCTGCAGCGATCCCATATTTACTCAGGTATTTTTGAATGCAAGGTATACTTCCGACATTTCTTTCGTGAATACCTTAAATAAAGGTAACAACAAATAAAACACATATATATTAATTCATATAAATATACACACTAATTTACATAATGAATACTGATGATTTATTGTAATGTTATATATTTCAATCAATAATATAAATTTAAAATATTTATATTCATCAAAAATATAAAAATCATATTAAAAAAAACAACATTTTAATTATTGCTTTAACATTATTCTCAATTATAATGTCAGCATTTATTAAACATATAAAATATGAGTAATAATCTTTTAGTCAATACTAGAATATTTTTGGTAATATTTATTGCAGTCTACTAAATTTTTTTATTCATTACAATATATTCCCCAACAGTTAAAATATCAAATTTTTTATATAACCGCTACTTATACTATAAAAATTTGTATAGAGGATTAAGGAGGATTGTTATCTATTGTATATTTTTTAAAGTTTGTGTGTGTTTTTTTAATTAACATATATCTTAAAAAAACTTTTAAAATAAATTAATGTGAATGGAGCAAGTTTTTAAAGCCTATCCATTCAATAACAAAGAATGGACATGGGTTGTCTATACTGTTTTGTTTCTGCATGCCTACGATTATATCAAAGGGCTAAATATATAATATCTTGTCTGCCAACTAACATTCGTATTCAATAGCAGGCTCCAACTGATGCAATGCGCTTAAATCCATTCCTAAAGAGTCTAGAGTAGATATAAGACTCTGTCACAATATTAATTACGGACTAGACCTCCTCTGCTTGATCGCAAGTTACCGACTAATTATCTCTAAAAAGGAATTAGGAATATTAGGCTACGACCAACACGTTTTCAAATGATTGCTTTGTGATTTACACTGATAGATCTGCCGCAATAAAATATTTGGCAGGAGTATTTACTTTTTTGTGACTGGCAAGCAGCAATTGCATCCTTTGCTAGTGTATTCACAACATCTAAGTGTATTCACAACATCTTGTATTAGATATCATATATCATTAAACAAGATGTCAGGCTGATCTGAATTGGATTCTGGGGCAGAGGGATGTTACTGAAACTGTAATACCGACATCAAACATTTCTGTTGTAGAGGTTTGTTTACCTCCAGTCAAATTAGCTACACGTACAGAATATTTTAAAACAGCAAACCAAAGATTGCGTATATGACACCGATCAGTCTTTGATCTAAAAAGAGCAGAACATTGGAAGACATTTTTACCGAGTAAGGGCTATCTTTAACGATTAATGTCGCAGCTATGGATCAGTGAAGGAAAAAGAGATTATTACCAATCTGTTTTGTTGTCGGAACTCGCCAAAAGGTGCCGCTATCCAATCTAGGGTCTCCCTTTATGAAATGTCGGTTCCATATCACTTGCGCCTACAATCTTTTTGTCAATCCTTTTCTTTCTTCATGATTATTATACTCAAATATTGTCAGATTGTAGGTAAGGTACTGTTCATTTCTAATTCTGCCATTACGATCTTCGATTACTATGATATGATTTTTGTCAGCATCCAACAACATGTAAAATAATGTATTGTCTTCAGTATCCTAATTATTATGATTAGTTATGGTATCAAAAGACGTTTTATTTATTTAATACTTAGTTTTATATCAGTTTTATATTGTGCAATATTTTTGAAAGAATAGAGTTGTTATTTTTTGTTTTTATTTTTATTCTCAACATATTTGTTATATCATATCATATCATACGTATCATGCATACGAATTGATATCAACTTGTATTTTTTTTTTTTTGCATCATTTCAAATCATTTTGTAAACCATATTTCTTTTGATCCTTTAGGTTTGATCTATGAACTATGTTTATATATTGGACCATTATTTGATTTTAGGTAAGCTTCGGCGGGCAAGGCTGCCATAAGGATTAAGCATAACTTAACTCAGAATATACTTCAGTTTCAATTTTTTTTAATGATAGATTAAATTGAGAGTAATCTTGTCTTACACAAGATTCTCTTCTACGTCTAGCGTTGTTTAGGATATTTTTTGAAACTCTTTTCCATATACAGTCAAACTTCCAAAACTCGAAGTACCATTTTACAAAGGAAAGTTTCGATTTATGGAGAAATTTAAAAAAAACTATTGTGACATTTTAAGAAATTTATTTATTTGACATCAAATACAGCACAGAAATTTTAGTGAAGTGAAACATTCAGAAATTAGGATTTAGGTTTTTAATTTTTTTTCTTATTTTCAGTAAAAAAATATTCCAATTTATTCCAAACCTTATAGTGATCATCAGTTCGTTTGTAAATAAAAATTCAGAATTTTGAATGAACCCGAACCCTCATTATTACTTTCCGTTGCGCTTAGAATCGGGTCCACTAATTCGAAGCTATAATGCTCAATCTGTAGAAAAGGTTGATTTACCTATTTCTGTGTTAAGTTCAATATAATCGTTAAGAGTAGTATTGAAAGTTATTTTATTTACTTTAAATCACGCTGCCAATGACTGGCATTTGCACAAAGAAGCAACAGAAGAAAAAAAATTAAACGTTTGGTTTGGAAAAAGGGACTTCCCCTAACACCAAAATGGATTCATACTAAAGACAATAATTTGACTTATAGAATGCTTTTTCCCATATTAATATTAGCACATGACAATATTTTTATTTGATATAAAGTAATTCGAGTTATTGAAGTCCGAGTTATGGAAGCAGAATTGTATGTACGAGTTATAGAAAATTTGAGTTATAGAAGTTCGATTTATGGAAGTTTGATTGTATTTCATATTTTTATAATGTAAACATGTACATTATATACTTATAATTATTTCTGAATTGTTCTTTTGTCTTTTTCAAGTTGGGCTATAGTGTTCGCTCAAAATAAGTTAAATTATGCAATATTATATTTTTTTAAACAAACTTTGAAATATATTTGTTTGCATGCATTTTGAAGTATTTAAATGTTAGTGGCATAACTGTCATAAAATACACAATAAACGAATGGATTGAATGCACTTGGGACTAATAAACTACATATTTGTCAACTTTTTGCAATGTTTTTGTGCAATTTTATTACTTCTTCATTTTTCTTTTATGACTATGTGCAGTTTTTATTGCCACTTGTAATTTTATTGTGTTTTTTGACAACTTTTTATTGACATTTTCAATAAAATAGAAATAAAAATGCATTTAACCAACCCAGAAGAAAAACTATTTTATTTTGTCAAAATACTAGATATAAAAAATTGCATATATTAAGAATAGAAGAAACAAAACCAAAAACAAAAAATAAATATAAATAAAAATAAAAATAAAAAAGTAATTTGTACGGTAATTGCTAGGAATGAGGCCGATTTGTATCTGCTGACACTGTTACAATTCGAAACACACTTACGTGCACTTTTTGTATCTAAAAGTTTTTATTTCTCGCTTATGTATGCGCAGAGTGTAACGAGCAAAAAATAACAGATATGTAATTTTTCATTTTCAGTGCCGCATAACAGAGAATTGCACCAGAAATGCCAAATGTCCTTTGACTATGAGTATGACTATGTGTACTATGAGTGTTCATCAGAAATGACATGGACAAATACTTCATTTATCAGGCTTAGATTGATTCTCTACAAATATGATAAGGCAGTCAGTCACAAGTTCAAATTAAATGATCAAAATTATTTTGAAATTCAAGTTTAAATGCAGTAGTGATTTTAAAAGATTGTAAACGGAAATAGAAAAACTACAAACTACAAACTACATACGTGAAGCTGTAAGGATATTTATTTGGCATGCTAAAATACAAAATTTCATTTTAGTTTTTTAAGTGAAAATTTTCACATCCACTAAAATGTCATTTACATAAATGCAAATTTTTATTAAAAACTTTTTATCCTTTGCAGTTTTTTTTTTGTTTTTCATTAGTTTTATATAAGGCTAAAGGATATAACAAACTAAAAGTTTTATTTGTAATTTATGGCATAACATTAAGGCAATGTAATTGATTGTTGTGTGGGTGTCATGTGAACGTTCTCAACTGTACTGACTAACGAGAAAAACTTTTACTCAGATTAAGTGCTCACAGCACACACACATACACACATGAGGATACAAATTCATACACTCATACTCTTGTAAGATTATAACTATATTAAGTGTTGTTGCAAAAATGAAAAAGTTTCTCTCTTGTGTGACTTAATCGTCCTGTCAATTCTTTATGTGTCACTTTTAGCTGCTGTCCGCATGGAAAATGCAGCTGAAATGTAGCTAAATTAAGTTTATCGCATATTTCTTGCGTTTACTGTGTTTTAATTGCGAAAACAACAAAATTTCCTACTTAAGTCGAATATAAAAGCTATTAAACAATATCTATACTTTCCTTAGCAGTTAAAAGAAAAATATTTTCCATTAGAGCAAATTTAATAAAATATATTAAAAGCAGACTTGCAATAAAATCTTAAACTTATATTGAGTATAACATTAATTTTATTAAAGCTTTTATGTCTTTAATTAAACAAATATTATAATATTATAAATAAATTATATTTATAAGTTGTATAAGTTTTATGTACCATATTTATTTTTTTTTTTATTAAGTGGTGCTGTGGTACTGCGACCAGCAGGTCTTCCCCCTTCTGGGGGTTAGAGTGACCTCATCTCGAGTGACCTCAAAACTAGTGTGGGAATACCTTCAACTTCTCAAAGTCTTTGCTGAAAGAAACAGGGTTGATTGAATATGGATCCCAGGACACAGCGGATTTGAGGAAAACGAAAAAGCAAATGAACTAGAAAGAAGTGTGGCGGCCACATATTTTATTGAGCCACAACCATTCTGCGGTCCTTCATGGATCTTTTTCAAATTTAAAATTAACAAATGTCTGGAAATAGCAACTCAGGTTGATTGAGATAACACCTGCATATAAGATAAA